GTGTGTGTGTGTGTGTGTGTGTGTGTGTGTGTGTGTGTGTGTTTTAGATTTTCATCACAACAGCCCCTGTTCCACCCGGACGAGTAGATCCAAAACCAAAGCAGCTTTACCTCTATTGTAGACAATGGAGCACACCTGAGATGAACCAAACCTGTGTGTGTGTGTGTGTTCGAGAACCCCAAACTCTCTCTTCATTCCATCTCATCTGTGCATGCACCCCTGAGTGCACTTTGTCCATTCAGGGGGCCCTCCCAGTTCCGTTTCATCTCTTGTTTCTGTTCCTGTTTTCCTCTTTTGTTTTGAAACCTTTCAGGCTAGATTCACAGGGTCTTCTCTGTCCCAACCCTCTTTCTTTCTCGCCACCATTTTTGAATCAAGATTACCACAGCCTCCAAGCAAGTTTGGGCAGAAACGTAAGAGAGCCTGCAAGAAAGCCGGCATTGTTTATGAACAGCAGATAGTTCTCAAGAAGACAAGGGTGTGAAGGATCTGAGGAGGTAATTAACTATGTCGAACGACTCAAAACGGACCCCAATGCCAAAGCACTCAAAGTCCTGAGCGAAACACAACCCCAACCGATGAGAGTTCCTTGACGTATGAGCTCTTAACAATTCACAAGAACCACAACATAAAAAGGCGAAGAACAGGCTGATCGACATTCAGAAAACGTTGGGGAAAGACGAACGAATTTCCGCGTTGAAACCTGAAACAAATCCTTAGTTAGAAAAGCAGTCGACAGATTGGGACTACTCCACACAGGGCCCAGAGAAAAGCACACCTTCAGTTCCATGCTGCTTGTAGTCGTCGCAACGTGTGGGATCGTCTTCACGATGCTCTGTGCAGAGAATTCGATCATCCAAGGACTGGCCGCGGAGTACAAGGCCAAGAGACACGAGCCCAGAGATGCACCAATCACCGATAACCTGTGAAAGCACAGACATGCAATAGCTGAGCTAAACCCTTCTTCCCCTAGGCGGCTGGGCATGCCCAGCCCAGGCAGGCATATGGGGGGAAGCTGACCAGCACCCCTGGCCCGGTCAAACGAGGGGCGAGAAATCCTGAGCTACCCCTTCTTCTTTCATTTATTAAGGGAATTATGACTTCAAGCCAGGATTGTATGCGGCCTGAGCTGTCAGAGTCCGGCTGGGTCACCCGGGGGGGGGGGGGGGGGGGGGGGGGGGGGGGGGGGGGGGGGGGGGGGGGGGGGGGGGGGGTGTAGAAGTAATAAACAGATTTTGAAGGGGGTTTACAGGGGTTTTAAAGGGGTTTCCACTTTCAAAGGATGATATCTCAACTCGCATTGTCTATTTCAGGCCTCTACATGGAGAGCATTAAAGCACAAGTACACCACACAACGGCCCGCAGGTGTCAGCACGAAACCCTCACCACTTCGGAGGCCGCCAATTTTTTTGTTTCAATGGCAGGCCTGACCGCGCGGTGCCTCCGAGTTTTGCTTGTGGCAACAAAAACTTTCTGCAAGGCTGGGGCCGTGTAGTGGCGGTTGGGCCGTGTACTTGCGGTTTCAACCGCCACTACACGGCCCCAGCCTTCCAAGGTTTCTTTGTCACCTACTCCTCAAATTTTGGGCGCTCGGGGCTACCGGACCGCAATGGCTGGTGCTGCCAGCCAAAAGAGAAAGAAAGTGCGCCGCTGACCGTTCGGGAAAGTTTGGGGCACAGTGCGGCGCCGCCAGGCCCGGGTGCACTGGTGGTGTGGTTAAAGCAATTTTTCTGAAGACCCTTAGGCAAAAAACTCATTTGTATGAAATTGTATCGCAATTTTACAAATTTACACAACATATTCTATTTCCGGACTTTTTTTTGCAATTTGTTTTTTTTTTTTTTCCAATGTTTCGCACACACGACGTATTCTTTTCTGGATATTTTTTTGCAATTTGTATTTTTATTTTTAATTTAAATGTTTCGTGCAGGGGGTACCCCGAGACCCTGCTGTGTTGACCTGGCGGCCCGATGCGGAAGAAAATCCTCGTCAGCCGCAGCCAGTCCAGGCCACCCAGCTGACAGCCTAGTTTTTCCAACTTTTTCTCTTTCCTGTTTTTCATTCTTTTTCATTCTTTTTTTTCCTTCTTTTTTTGACGTCTGGCTGGTCCCCAACCCTCAGTCGCTTACCACGGGAAGAAACGGAACGTTCTTCTTTCGCCGATCACCCCTCACCATGTGTTAGGATTCCGCCTTCTTCTCACCGCTCTCCTGCTATGCCGTCCGTCTCACTGCTGTCCTGTTCATGCCGTGCCCCCCCTTCAAGGGCTCAATATTCCTCATCTCCATAAATGCAACAACAGCCCAGAGAAGAGAATACAGGATGCTAGCGAGTGGCTAATTCCCAGAGATTGAACCCCCAACTGCCCCTCCCCTCCCCTCTTTCCCCCCCAACACAACACCCTCTTCCCCCCGGGGAGACAAAAAAAGAGAAGAGACCCAGGGATCGACGATCAGGTGCAAGAAACATAACTATCGGCGTTACGTAACGAGCATCCATATCAAGCCTTCATCACAAAGCAAGAGTCGGCCACACATGCGGCTCAAGACCACGACCGCAGATATCATACGTGTAGAAGCGAATGCAACACTCTGCGAGGTAAACTTTTCCAACTGCCAGAGTAAGGCTGTGCCCACACTAGGACCTATGAACGAATCTGGCAAGAATTACAGTCAGATGCATCCAGAAAAATCCTGGTGCAATTATGTCGAACGATTAAGATATACCACATTATACATCTAGGGTCTCTCATAAGAAAAATAAGTCATCGCCGACGCCAAACATGGGATCTTTTACCCCTTGAGCACCTCCAACAAGCAACAAGAGGATCACATCTACCCACACAGGACAAACCACCCAACCGAGCATCATGTAACCTGTGGAGGTAGGGAGAAGGGGGAGGAGGGGAGAGAGGAGGAGAGGAAATGGGGGGAATAGAATTCAGGTGAATCAGGTCAGCTCTGCAACAAAAGATTGTCTGCAAAAGTTTGCCCTACCGGCAACTATCACACAGAAAAAATTAAGAAGAAGATGGACACACACACAGAAAAAAATCAGAAAACAAAGAAAAGTCTGAAAAACACACACACACAAAAAAAAAAAGGTAAATTCCCTCTCAGCAAAACACACACACACACACACACACACACAAAATTAAGAAGAAGATAGACAGCACATGAAGGGCAGTTCGCGCCAAAGATGATCAGCCATTAAAATAATAAAAAGAATAGAAATTAATAAAATTACAGAATGATGACATTAAACTTTATTAAATAGACTAGAATAATAACTGACTCTGTTGTTGTCAAAACTTGAAAGATAAACCATTATTAAATTTGATAATTTCAGTTAATTTGATCATAATTAATCATTTATTATTAATAAGTTAATAATAACTTAATACTAATTATCAATTACCTGTCAGGAAAGGATCCTTCTTCCCTCTCAGCTTCAACTTCCAACAGCTTAGCGATCACCGTCAAAATGTCCTCCGTCGGAATAATCTCGCCATCAATTGTGGCAGTCACTGCCCGTATAGTGTCCAGGACTGCCTGTCACAGCCATCCATCATCAAAGTGGGACGCATTCAACCAAAGTCCGAATAATTGAGAATCATGGAATATAACATTTAATAATTTAAATTTAAATTAATTACAAACATTTTCCATAAAACTTGATCCAAGTACAAATAGTAAAATACGAAATACCATACATGTGGCGCGTAGGTGAAGTGCGCTACGCAGTACGCTGCGTGGTGCGCGGTGCGTTAATCACAGATGCGCGCGCACAAAAAAAAAAAAGAGTAACTGTGATGTGTGTATACACGCTAGAGAGAGAGAGAGAGAGAGAGAGAGAGAGAGAGAGAGAGAGAGAGAGAGAGAGAGAGAGAGAGAGAGCACAGAGCCCTTTCACATTATTCAGACAACCCCTGCCGGTACTTCAAAAGGTCCCTGCCAAAAATTGGCAAGGGTCCCGTCGGCAGGAGAGGCGTGGTCATTGGACGGGTCATCACTGGACTTGTAGTAAGGAGGGAGCAGGCCAGCTATATATGGTGTACCTTCAAATTCAGGTCCGTGTTTCAGCAGTTATGGGTTACTGACTTACTAACTCGGCATTTGTTTCTCAGGGCTTCACTCCACTACTCACCAAATGTGCAAAACTAGAATGAATCTTCTCCTACAAACTGGATCCATACAAGCCCTACATTTTTCTTTTCTGCAAGTGCTGATGAGTGCAGTGAGGCCCTTATGGCCACTGCACGCACGTAAGAAAAGGAAAAACAAAAAAACGAGACAGCTACTGTATGTGCAAAACTAGAATGAATCTTCTCCTAGAAACTGGAACCATACAAGCCATCCGTTTTTCTTTTCTGCAAGTGCTGATGAGTGGAGCGAGGCCCTTAGGGCCACTGAACGTAAGAAAAGGGGGGGGGGAGAAACGCGACAACTACTGGAGTGTTTGTAGTAAGTTCATAACCCATAACTCTTGGAACACAGACCTGAACCCTAATCCAGGATATATTGCCGGCCTGCTCAAGGTCTTCCAGCAGTCCAATTGACATCCTTCCAACAGCACGGAAACACTGCTAATTACTTGCAGAGTGCTTTTTGGAAAGGAGAATATAACCAATGCGTAGTACGAAGAGGCCCCAAAATATTCTCTTTCTGTGCACTTACCCTTTCTAAAAGGGAGGGACACTTATGGGTACCACGACCTACCCTTTCTGATTTTTTATTTTTTATTTTTTTAAATGTGCTGCATCACGTGCGTGCGCATGCGCTGTGCGGAGCACGTGCGCAACTTGCGCGCACATGATGCACCGCATGTATTGAAACGGTTTTCAGTGCTTGCGGCGCATCGAGGTGCGCTGCACCCCGCACGTGCACCGCACCTCGCACCGCGCACGGGGTGCGGCGCACCCCGAAAATAAGGGGTCAACCAAAAAAAGAAAGTTGCCAAGGGGTGTTCTGGGCCGGGGTGGGATGTCGCGTGACGAACCAAAAAAAAAAAAAAAAAAAACAATTTAAGGCCGCGCGGGGCCTCGGAAAAAAAAAGGGGGGGGATCTGAAGTTGGTTTGTTTTTTGAAGTTTCGAATCCGGAGTGCTGCCCCTCGCTGCCTAGATGAACCCCGGTAGTCCAGCTTTGTGCCCTTCGCGCCCGCCGTGCGTTGCCCGTTGCCTCCACGTCTCCTGTGCAGCAGCAGCAGTCGAAGGCGTCGTCGTCCAGCCATAGCCAGGGCACTACAGTCTTCCTGAAGGAGC